ACTTTTGTACTGATGCACCTAAGAAAAAATGTTAGGCGCACCGGTGCAACCAGTGCAACCAGTACAAAAAGTTAGTCTAGAGCCCTGATTCATAAATCTGATTTTTGTTAAACAAGCTCCAGTTTCATGAGTTTTATTGTTTTATTAATTCTGCTGAAGCCTGGTTGAAAAGCAATGACTGACTTTCACTTTGTCATTATCATATAAAACTTTTACATACTGTATTATTACTTTTGTCAGATTCTAATTATTTCTGTGACCATTGTTGGTTTTTCTTTCACTAAACCAGGGATAACAAACGTTTTGTGCACATGTGTATGTTAACAGTCTAGCAGTGTTGTTCTGTTAAGACTGGAGGATGCCAAAAAAAATTAATTGCAATAATCCAGCCTTGAATAAACAAAGGCACAGACAAGTTTTTTTGCATCAAACCAAAAATAAAAATGAACTGAGATTTACAAGATGAAAAACTCAAGTTTTATATRGAGGTTTAACATGGAAATCAAAGAAAAAAAGACAATAAAGAAGAATGTAATGTTCTGACCAGAAAACTTTATTGCTGTTATAGGAGATGACGGAGTGCTAATCAATACAGTCTCAGTTTTGGTGTGAGCTCATATTAAACCTAGAACAGAAGTTAAACACTACACTTTGCTGAAATTAAACTCTCAGCAGACTATCCAACATCAGGGACCACACTAAACAAGTATGTTTTTACAGAGTTGGGCTGATCATGGGACCACTGAAGCAAATATATACATTTTTATTTAAAGTTCATCATATCAGTAAGAACTAGGATTAAACTGTGTMACATGTGGGTTAAATGCCTTTGGGCCAAATATAAAACTAAAATGTCAAATTCATTTAAGTTGTCACATGAACTCTTATAATATAAGCAGAAACTAATGAGTTATTGTTAGCTTTTAAAGTCAAAAGTAATGTTACTGCTGTGACCAAACACCAGCAGAGATGATTACATTACAGATTAACTGAACATAATCCAGTGTAAACCAGTTTGAGATTAAAGATTTGTATTCTTTCATCTTGAGAAACAGAAAGTCACGTCTGAAACAAGCACGTACTGTTTGATATTTCAGTGTTAAATGTTCCTGAGCAGTGTGTTGAAAAGTTGAAAACTGAATTAAGTTCCTCTGCAGCCTCAGTTTCATCTTTAAACATTGCACAGTTTAGTACATTTGGACAGCCTATTGTAGTAATCAGACTTGCAAAACGGGCCTGAAAATCCCACCTCAGAGCTTGGCAGGAACAAGGATTTATGGATGGCAAACTGGAACCATAACCCCAGGGAAATTAATCCAGTCCAAAGAAAGATATCTATAAAATGACTGTCAGGAAAGCTCCATACCACCCCAGGTCTGCCTCACAGGCATGCTCTAACAGCTAGACAATTAAGTGTGAAATACACCACAGAAAAAACTATTTTCACACCATTACTTTGTGCAGCTTCAGTCTTAATTCTTCAAGTTTGTGTTCATAGTTACAAAAAAGTGCCCAAGGCTCCAGCTTTTTAAATATTTATCCTACAAAGAAAGAACTACAGAAAATCTGAACATTCTCTGTTACTTATTGATTCCTTAAACAGGACCTAATATGGGTTCAYAGAACAAATAAGGATACATCTATTCAAAACATGTTCATTAGATTTATATACAAAATCATTTTCAGATTATGAAATTTCATCTGGTCAGTTCTGCCTGCAACAAGTCAGACATTTAGAAAGAAACGTCAATTTTTAACGTCACACCAAACTGTCATCAACCTCAAATTAGGACCAAAGCTTTTCTGACATGATGATACACCAAAAATTATTAACAGTTGTTCAAAAGTTTTCATCATGTGGGTGTGGGATTTTTATTTTTTATTTTTTTGCATATGCCAATTTTGACAAACACGAAATTTTGGGTCACGTGACTGTAAACCATGTGACCATATCATCTATTTTAGAAGCTACAGCACTAAGCATAACGGGCAAG